CGTGCAGGACTGGCTCTCCCAGGTTTGTGCGCATGGCGCTCTTGAATGTGCATCTACACTTTCCAAAATCAGCTTCTTGTCTTCCCCTTCATTCTGACTCATCTCTCAATTCTTTCTTGCAATGATGTCAAAAACCTGAAAACCAGCTGGGGCTGGGCTCTCCCTAGCATCTGGAGACCCTCCTGAGCCCTCTGGTCATACATGGATTAGAGCATGTGGTGTGTATGGTATGCACGACCTCTACGTGTGGTAGAGAGGCTGTATAGTCCAAAGCAGCATGATGCTTGCTTTTTAAATGGCAGGCAGTGCAAGGTCCAGTAGCTTGTCCCTCACCTTGAAGGGGCCACCTCAGCATGCCCCAGACCTTCAGGAACTTCATGACATCAGAGACCTCCAAATCTTCACGGGATTTTTCTCTCGTCCTCTGGCTTACCTGTATTTTACTGAAGCATCTAAAATGATTGCCACTTCCTCTTCTCTGGGTCCAATTAGCATAACTTTATCACTGTAGTAAACCAATGCAGTCTTCCTTGGAATAGTGAGAGAATCAGATCCCTAGGAGTTCCTTCACTATTGAAGGAGAGGTGATGTAGCCCTGAGACAAAACTGTGCAGGTACATTGGTGCCCCTGCCAGGTGGAAGCACACCTTCTGGTATAGCAGAATTGCAAATTAGAATAGCGAAAAAAATAATTCACCAAGTCAATAGCTAAGAATCACGTTCCAGGGATTATGTTGATTTGCTCCAGTAAAGAGAACACATTTGGAACAGCAGCTTCCATTAGAGTCACCAGTTAACTTAATTTATAACAATCCACAGTCCTTCTCCAAGATCTGCCTTCTGCATAGGAAGAAACAGATAGTTGTGTAAGTCTTGAGTTTCTATTTCCTCCTCTGAATCTTCCAAGCCTTTGATGATGGATTTAATCTCTAACTTATCTGAGGATATGTATTGCATTTGGTCAAATGTCCTGGTAGGTCGGGGACTTGTTAAGGTCTTCCATATGCCCCTTTCCACCATTACAGCCATCAGTTTCTGGGTCAGGAGCAGCATGGGGATTCTGCCACTGAATATCATGGCAATTCTAACAATAAATTCAATAAATTCTGAACATCAAAAACAACCTCAAGTCGGGTACACATGAGGCCACAACGACACAAACTTTGGTCAAAACACCTGACTACCATTAGCCACAGTGTGGATGGCAGATTACAGGGCTTGGGGAGAGGCATCTAGGAATAGTATTAATTTTATAGGAAATCTAGGAACCACTCAGAGAATGCGATACTTTATTTTACTCAAATAGAGTCACTCTTGTAAGTGAGCACAGGGTCACTCACACAAGGCTTTGAGGAACGGGGTGACGGCATCTCAGGATTCTCCCTCAGGTGCACCCAACTTCTTCTTCAGCAAGGCCTTCTGGACGGTGAGCTGGCTTAGTCCTAGAAATTTGGTGAAAAGCTGTACTTCTCCATCTGCTGACTCAGCTTGGTTTCTGGCCATCAGCCCTGGTGTTCTTCCTGTCATACAAAGATCAAGTGACATTTTAATGTTGCTCATTTATTCTATTCCCAGGAAGACCATGATCAATCGGACACTGCCTGAATTCCCTGGCACTCAGACATTCTGATGGCCACATTGTCCCTGATGTTCATGCAGCAAATGTAGCCACCTTGCTCCTGGCAGCTCAACACCACCACTCGGCCTCGGCTGCCCAGGGTCCCGCCACCCCCAGTAAAACCCGGGAGGCTGGCACCTTCTCCCCTGGTCACTCAGGTTCACAGGGACAGCTGCCAGGGAGCATCGTGAGGGTCAGGGTGTTTCCCTCACTAGGGAGTTTCTCCGTGCCTTAGCAAAGGGCTCGTGTGGAGTTTTAGTCTGAAAGCATGGTTGTGTAGAATACAAGCAAGAAATCCTTCCCACATTTGTATCCCTTAGAACTTTTGGTCTCTCTCTCTCTCTCTTGCTCACTCGCTCTCTCTCTCTTTCTCTCTCTCTCTCTCTCTCTCTCTGTCTCTCTCACTTGCCCTGTGCGGGCTCCCTGCAAACTCACTTGCCCTGTGCGGACTCCCTGCAAACTCACTCACCCTGTGAGTTCAGAGAATAAGTGGCTTATTCTCTAAGGCTACTTCTTAGAGATTATTGTTAGTTTGCATGCTAAAAAATATGCATGCATTCTTATCCACATCATGATGGTTTATATTCTTGGATAAAGACTACGTCCTGAGTTGTATATGTATTTAGTTTTATTTCAGTTTAAATATGTAAGTCACATCTTCCTAATGAGAACTGTTTGAGCAACTCCTTGTTCAACATTAATTTTTTTAACGTCTTTCTAGATGTGAGAGGAAGAGGCATAGTCAGTTAAAAAATCTGTATTTGTGGTATCGAATCCCATTTTCACTAATCC